AGAATTTTCCACTTTATTATCATGTTTATATTTTTTTTATTCGATTATATATCTATTTTCATCATTACTCAAACTGACTTTATTTTAAAATTGAAAACAACAAATATTTTTCTATATTTTGATTAAAACAACTATGATTTTGCATTGCACTAAAAAAATAAACCTCTTTTTCTATTTTTTTTATTAAAAAAAAGAAAGAAAGATGGACACCTCTTTTTACAACAACTTATTATGAAGAATATTTTTTTTATTTTATAATTATGTTTATAAAAATACTATGGATATTTTAAATGATTTTAATGAAATTAGAATTAATTGTATATACTTTAAAAAGTGAAAAAAGAGTAATTTAGTTATGTTATAAATTATTAGATATGTATAGCATTATTGAAGTTTCAAATATCAAGCACTTAATTCAATAAATATTTAAATTTTGTATATATATAGAACAATCCATTAAAAAGCAACATTAATAGATAATTAAGTAATGTATGCCAAAATTAATATATCTAATATAGTAAAATGAGATGAGTCATGATTGTGAAACAATTGAGGGGAAAGATTCAGCCATTAGAAATAGTTTTAAAAATTTCAATAAAAAAAAAATAGAGAAGGCCAAGAGTGAAGAGAAGGGTGAGAAAAGAATAGTGCGTAGATAAAATTAGGAAAGACTTTAATTTTTATGCAAAATAAAGTGACCTTACTCATGCTTATCATTCTAATATGTCTATGATTTTACTCTTGTATAAAAAGGTATATTTTAATTTTGATGAGTTAAATCCTTTTGTTTCTAGTGTTGCTAAAGTTATTTTACAGAAATTTGATGGTATCTTTCCTGAAAAGATCCCTAGTGGGTTGCTCCAAATTTGAGAGATTAAGCATCAAATTGATTTTATGCCAAGAGCATTAATCCTAAATCAGCCATCCTATAGAAGTAATATCGATGAGACTACAAAGCTTTAAAGACAAATAGAATGGTTAATGTCGAAAGGGTATATTCTAGAAAGTATGAGTCCTTGTATAATTCGAGTGTTACTTGTGCTTAAAAAGGATAATACTTGACATATGTGTGTTGATTGTAGGACCATTAACAACATTATTATAAGGTATAAACATTTTATACCTGAATTAAATGATATACTTGATAAGTTGCATGGTTCTTTTATATTTTCTAATATTAATTTAAAAAGTGGTTATAATCAAATTAGAATGAAAGAATGAGATGAGTGAAAGACAACATTAAAAATTAAATATGAATTGTATGAATAGTTAGTAATACTTTTTGATTTGACTAGTGCCCTTGTAGATTCATTAGGTTAACGAATCATGTGTTAAGATCTTTTATTGGAAAAAAATTTATTGTCTATTTTGATGATGTCTTGATTTATAGTAAAGGATTAGATGAGCATATTTGTCACATAAGACATGTTCTTAAAATACTTGGAAAAGAAAGATTATATGCTAAAATAAATAGTGCAATTTTTACATGGAAAGAATTATGTTCTTAGGTTATGTTGTTTATTGCAAAAGGGATTGATATAAATAAAGCACAGATCAAAGCTACTAAAAAATAGCCTACACCAAAAATAGTAAGTGAGGTGAGAAGTTTTCATGATTTAGCAAGTCTTTATAAAAGATTTATCCAATATTTTAGTACTCTAGTTGCATCATTGACTAAAATTATAAATAAAACGATAAGATTTAAATGGGATGATGATCAAGAAAATATTTTTAACTTGTTAAAAAAAAGGTTGGCCCCGCTACTTGTTTTACCTGCATTACAAAAACTTTATTTTGGCCCCATTACTTGTTTTACCTGCATTACAAAAACTTTTGAGATTAAATGTGATGTTTTATATATGTATTGAAGTAGTTTTAATGCATAAAAAGTAGCTCATAACCTATTTCAGTAAGAAGTTTAATGAAGTAAATCTTAGTTATTCAACGTGTGATAAAGAATTCTATACATGAATGAGAACCTTAGAGACTTGATAGCATTATCTTTTGCCTAAAGTGTTTATGATACTTCTAGACCATCAATCTTTAAAACACTTAAAGAGAAAAAGTATATTGAAAAGGCAACATGCTAAGTGTATTGAGTTTATTAAGATGTTACTATATGTCATTAAGTGCAAGCAAGGTAAGGAAAACATTGTTGCAAGTGTATTGTCTTGAAAAAAAACATAGGTTATCAAATATTTTCAAACCAGGTGCAACAACATATTGAAAAGATAAATGAATAATATGCATTTAAAGCCAATTAAAAAAAAATATGGTATATGAACCAGGAAATTAGGTTTGGTTGGATATAAGAAAAAAATATTTTCTACTTAAAGGAGATCTAAGTTAATTCCAAAAGGAAACATACCATTCCAAATTCTTGAGAATATCACTTATAACACTTACAAAATAGAATTACCATGTGAGTATGATATTAATACTATATTTAATCTATATGATCTTTCTTTGTTTGATATAGGTTATGACTCGATGATAAATCTTTTTTAGGAGAGAGGGAATGATGTGATCCTAGCTTCTAATTTATCAAGATGAGGAATAACTATTTGTTTAATGTTCAACTTCAATTATGTTAGTAAATTACAAAATTAGATTTTGAGCTTGTTTTAATTAATTAAGTTATTATTTATTTATTTATTAGTTTATTATAGGACATGCGGCATTTAAGGTTATTTAGGTTATATTTTATTTTATTATTTTAATTATTTTGAGTTTTTAATAAGTTAAGGTCAATTTATCAAGTTTTGGTCAATTAAATCAAATTAAAGTTGGTTTTCTATTATATAAATAAATTATTAACATTATTTTAAAGTTGATGAATTTTTATCTACAAGTTGTTGTATATTGTGTGCTTATTTCTTTTTGAATGGTTGAGTAATTCTTATATTAACTTCTTAATTGAACTTGCAAACTTTTCGAATAATTAATCAACTTAGTCGTAATTTATACTTTTCATTCACGTCTTGTTATAGATGTAGGGTGAGAATGATCAGTTATATATAACTTTGGTTTTTCAAAGTAAGGTTTTAGTTGGATGCAGTTACAAACTTTTCTCAATACCTCACATTAATAATCTAAAGGACAATTCTGTATCGGTTTGTTTATCATTAAGAAAATTTGTTAATAGAAAACATTTTCTAATCAATGAAAATTTTGGTTTGATTTCCAGAAAAATATTTGTTTTTTATTTTGGACAGAAAATGTTTTATAGAAGTTGTGAAAAATTAAAAAAATATCTTGTTATTTATTGATTAGATCAAAATTTAGTCCTTAATCTTTTAATATATATTATTCTTTTATTTTCAATTATGAGTTTTAGAATTTAATTTAATATGGTTTTTATATTAATTTTGATCTTTATTCTTTTAATTGTTTTTTTTTCTTATCCTTTTCTTGATTGAATTTTTTTATTTATTAGATTTGATCCTTATTATTTTAATTGTTATTTATTCTATTTGAAATAATTTATGAAATTAATTTTTTTTAATTTCATCCTCTTTTTATTTTTTTTATATGTGAAACTTGATCTTTATTGTTTTAATTACTATTTTTTATCTTTTTATTTTTATCTTTTTATCTTTTTTGTCTGTTAAATTTGATTTACATTCTTTTAATAAACTTTTAAAAAATTAAAAATATTAATAAATTAGTTTTTAATTTATTTTCCAAAGATACACTCAAATATTAAAAAATATTTTTTAACTTAATTTTTATAATTTTATTAAAAATCATAAAATAATTTAATATCCAAGAATTTATGTTTTATAAAAATTACTTTCCAAGAAAACTACTTTAACGAGACGTAGCTACATTTCCAGAAGCGACTTAAACCTCTTGAGCCTTTACAATAATGGAGTAGTTCCCAAAAGTATATACTATCCGATTTCACTTTGCTTAGAAACGCTAAGCAAATTCAACAGAGAAACTGAGAGAGTGAGAGTCAGTCAAGCTCCATGTCTCACTCAGAGCTTGCCGTGCTTCTCCTTCCTTCAATTTTATCTCTACTCCTGGTCTTCATTCTCATGCAAAGAAAGCAAGCAAGATTTAATCTCCCACCTGGCAACATGGGCTGGCCATTTCTTGGAGAAACTATTGGCTACTTGAAGCCTTACTCTGCTACTTCAATAGGGGAATTCATGGAACAACACATATCAAGGTAAAACGAAGACTACCCAGAAAGCAAAATTGACAGCCGGAACCAAGAAGTGAATTATTGTTTAACCATAGCACTCAAAACTTGATTACAATATGCAGGTATGGAAAGATTTACAAGTCCAATTTGTTTGGGGAGCCAACAATAGTATCCGCAGATGCTGGACTCAACAGATTTATACTACAGAATGAGGGAAGATTATTTGAATGCAGCTATCCAAAAAGTATTGGTGGAATTCTTGGAAAATGGTCTATGCTGGTTCTAGTTGGAGACATGCATAGAAACATGAGGAGTATATCTCTCAACTTTTTGAGCCATGCCAGGTTAAGAAGCCATCTATTGAAAGAAGTGGAGAAGCAAACCTTGCTTGTTCTTAGTTCTTGGAAGGAGAATTGTACATTTTCAGCTCAAGATGAAGCAAAGAAGGTAATTCTCGAAACTTGCATTGCCAGGAAAATGAATTTAAATGCTGAATTTTGATATTCAAGAGGAATGCTTAGCTTATTGAAGAAGGAAATTGCAGTTTACCTTCAATTTGATGGCAAAACATATGATGAGCTTGGATCCTGGAAAGCCAGAGACTGAGCAGCTGAAAAAAGAGTATGTTACTTTCATGAAAGGAGTGGTTTCTGCTCCACTTAATTTTCCTGGAACACCGTATAGAAAAGCCTTGAAGGTTAGTGATCATACTTTAATTAACCATAAGATATCCCATTTTTTCCAACAAAAAAAGATCATGATCTTATTATATCTTCATCCGTGGATGTCCTGTTTATGCAGTCTCGATCAACCATCCTTAAATTTATAGAGCAAAAAATGGATGAGAGAATTTCTAGATTGAAGGAGGGAGTGGAAGATTTAGAGGAAGATGATCTTCTTGGATGGGTTTTGAAGCATTCAAATCTTTCTACCGAGCAAATCCTTGACTTGATATTAAGCTTGCTCTTTGCTGGCCATGAAACTTCTTCTGTCTCCATAGCTTTAGCCATCTACTTCTTGCAAGCTTGTCCCGGTGCTATTCAACAGTTAAAAGTAAGCAAGTGAAAGAACCTCAAAGTATATTTTGCACTTGCACTCTTATCAGTGCATTCGGCATTTATTGTACAAAGTAGATGCTTTGGGTTTGTATTTTTATTTTTTTCTTGAATATAGGAAGAACATATTGAAATTTCCAGAGCCAAGAAACAGTCAGGAGAGATGGAAATGAACTGGGATGATTACAAAAAAATGGAATTCACTCAATGTGTAAGCTCCTTTTAATTACCCTCTTTCATGGTGATCAGGAATACTTGGGAATTTTCTTAATTATTTAACACAAATTTATTCAATATTTTTATAACCTTGTGAAGGTTATAAGTGAGACACTGAGGCTTGGAAACGTAGTCAGGTTCCTTCATAGAAAAGCTGTCAGAGATGTTCGCTATAAAGGTAAGAGACAATCCTCTCACCTTAGTAATATCACTTTGTTAGTTAGTTCAATCAAACATTGAAGAACAAGATTACTTAATCTCAGTCTATAAAATATAATCCTAACGGTAAAAATAAAAAATAAAAATGTTTAATCAATCTATCTAATTGTTTTTTGAAGGGTATGACATTCCATGTGGATGGAAAGTGCTGCCAGTGATCTCAGCCGTGCATTTAGATTCTACTGTCTTTGACCAGCCTCAACAGTTCAATCCATGGAGATGGCAGGTCAGTAGAACAGCTTTAAAGTTATTACAGCCATGCTTTTTCTTACTCATTATAATTATTAGTATAGGACTCGTATTTACTATAATCATTATAATTTTTCTTACTCGTATTTACTCATGAAAAATCTAATGGTGCTAATTGCACTACTTAGTTTTTGAAATAAATAAATATTGCACCACGTGTTCTCTTGGAAAAGTCTGTCTGTGATATTTTTTGTTGTCTCACTCATTTAAGAGAGAACTAGGTTTCAGGAAATATCAGAATTGTAGGACTCCTCCTTGGTTCCATAATATACAGTTGTTTCTTCGAGACTTATTAAAACTAATATAACATGGTTTTTTCCAGTTTTTTTTCTTTAATTTTATATTAGTTAAAAATCTAACCGAAAAGGCTATTAATTAATTAAGTTTTCTAAAACTTAAATTCTTTAATTTTTAAATCAATTAAAAAAGAGGTAAAAACTGAAATTGGCTAATTACCTCTTGGAATAAACGATCGAGGAAAGGTTATGAAAAAAGACACAACACAGTTAGCAGCTATATTACTTCCTTAATTTATCAATGATGGCAAGGAAATCCTTGAATCCCTTTCTTAGAAATTAATGCTGTATCGTAAACTAAAAATCAAGTGTTTTTTTCTAGTATTTTTCATAGAGAAACATGCTGTATGTGTAATGGCGTTAATTTTTATTGGATAATAATATAAATTATATTTTAAAATTTTATTTAATAATTTAAAATTTTAAATTAAATTAGTTTTTTAATATATAATTGAAATTTTGATGAAGTGGATATAAATTTAAATTTTTATTATTTTTATTTATTTAATAAAAATTAAATATAAAATAATATAGATCCATATAAGTTACAAACTTAATGAATTTTTATTTAATATAATTTATTAAAAAATAATATAAATTATATTTTTAGATTTTATTTAACAACCGAAATGATTTTTATTTAAAATAATATATAAAAAATAATATAAATTATATTTTAAAATTTTATTAAATTATTTAAATTATTAAATTAAAATAATTATTTAAGAGACATCCATGCAGAAATCATAACGTGAAATAATTTCCTTGAAAACATTCCATCATCGAAAACCATTGATGGCAAAGGAGGGGAACGTACGATCTCAACACTCTGACGTCACCCCCAGTGATGAACTGTCACCATCATTCAACAGAGCGTTTGCCTGCTAGGACATGGGTCCCATCTCATCCTTTCGGGGTGATTAACAGCTCCCATGTGGATGTGGGCCTCTCACGTGCACGAGTGATTGCATTTGCATGCCTCCCTCTGCCCCTTTTTCGATGGTCAATACTACTACTCCTTTTAGATTCTGTTTAGCATGACCTTTACAAATAGAAGATTCATAAATATGTTTTTTTAGAAATAATTTTTTATTTAAATCAAGAGTTTGTCATAGAACTGAGTCAAAACTTGGTTTAACAAAAAAGTCTGAATTTTAGATTTTAACTTATGTGTTTTAATGTATGTTTATTCATCAAATATACTATTATTTTAACTTATTATTTGTATCATAAATTATTTATAAAAATAACTCATGTATTATGATTTAAAGTCAAAAATCATTTTCTTTATAAATATGATCTAAACACTTAAATTCAGATTTTTACGAGTAATAATCCACTCAAAAACCATTCCTTCATTTCTATTCAACAGGGGACCGATGCATCTTCACAAAATGAATGAGCATAAGAGTAGTTTCCCCTAGTATTTCAGAAGACTCCTGAATAATAACTGGGTGCGCCTTTACATTGGAAATTGTGAAACATGTAGATTCTGACACTGTAATTGACAATTGTCCTTTTGGCATCATCAGCATGGTCTCGACTGTGTTTGGTTTTTTGCTACACGTATCTCCATTTTAGCGTTCAATGCAAGGGTTGATTCCATGACATTTGTACAACGAGAGCCCCCGTGGTCTGCCCTTGCAACAGAGCTAGAGACAATCAAATCCTACTCGTGTTTTTTTTTTATTATTATTTTGTTGGATTGTTGGTATCTGTCACGTATCCATACGTCAAATGTCTTCTCAGAGGAAAATTAAAGTAAAAACTGTCTTTCTTCTAAGAAATTGAATTTTACTAGTTTTATGTTTTCCTTGGTGCCATGATTTGATACAACTGAGTTTGATATATTCTTTTCTTTACTTTTTTAAAAATATTTCCTCTCAATAAAGTTCTTAATTTTCCTATAATTATTTTATCAAATACTTATTTATCTTGTTCTTTTATTAGTCTGTTAATTATTAATTTAGTTTATTATATACGAGAGATGGGTCTCCCTTAATCTTCAAATCGCTACCACCTAGCCTCCGGTTCACGTCTAAATCACTGCCTAATCGATAGGATGTGTTCCTAATATCAATCTTGGAAACTGTTATTTAGGATCATCATGAACTTATTAAGCCTACGAATGGACGTTTAGGCTGACAATTTGAAATGATCTTAGTCACGAAGAAGGAAGACAAGAATGTGTGCTTCCTTTTTCTTTCTTTTTATTTATTTATTTATTTATAAGAATGTGTATTCTTATATTTTCTCATTTTAATTAGATTTTTTTATTATAATATCACCCGCATATATCGACAACTGTTCCAGATAATTAACTTGCCTTTTCGTTTATTTATGTTATCCATGGCGAAAACAGCAGCACAACAATGCTCGTGGATCTTCTACTTGTTCGAGTGCCGCCGCGAGTAGTAATTACTTCATGCCATTTGGGGGAGGACCGCGACTCTGTGCAGGATCGGAGTTGGCAAAACTTGAAATGGCAGTTTTCATTCACCATTTGGTTCTGAACTTCCATTGGGAATTGGTCGGTACCGATCAAGCCTTTGCATTTCCTTTTGTTGATTTTCCTAAAGGCTTGCCAATAAGAGTCAAGCAGCACACGGTCATATAAAAAAGACAGCACCATGCCATCATGAATTCTTAACGGAGACCAATCTGTTTGTCACCCTCTGTGTCGTCGTCCCTATATGGATGTATGTATGTTGGATATAGATACAATACAAGGTACATCCGCATGTGAAGATTTGAGAGCACCCTTGGATTTTTCCAGCAGCTTAGCAAGTTTCTTTTGACGTTTTATAACTGTAGCAGCAGATATTATCCATGAACAGATCGTTGTCCACTCCAGGATAATATTATAGGACCACAACCAACCACCTCACCTCTCTTCCCCACGTTGTAAATTCTACTTTTCCCCTTGGTCCCTCCATGTCGGGACTGAGGAGTAGTTAATTATTCATTCATATAGCCTGTAATATGGTTTTTTCTTCGGTGTTTTTCACTTCATTAATTCTCAATATCAGCTACAGCATTTCCTAAAAAAGAGAAGGAAAAGGAAAAAAACAAACCAGCTACAGCACAGTTATATTTCTTGAAATACATATGTTCTTTTTTATATTATCCATTAAGAGCTGTAAACAATGTAAACCCAGATGCAATATTTTGTTTTAGTTATTGATAAAAAAAATAAAAAGAAAACAACATGGATGGTGAATGTATTTAATTGTTTAAAAACTGACAAAACTAGTCGACCGTAACCTAGTCCACATCCTAAACCATACAAGAAATTAGTTGTTTTTTTTTTCCTAACAAGGAGACACGATTAAAATAATATATAACTCCTATATTTATGAAATTTCTAACTAATAAATAATAAACCCAATTAACTAAGAATCAAATTTAACAATTAATAAAAAACAATTCTTATGCACGAAACTAACGAAATTAGAAGAATAAATCCGAGATTGAAGATTAATGCTCACATCCCAAACCATACGATGAAATTAGGTTTTTTTTAAGAAGTAGACACAATTAAAATAATGTAAAACTCCTATATTTATAAAATTTATAATCGATAAATAATCGATTCAATATTAAATAATAAATAATCAATCCGATATTAACTAAGAATCAAATTTAAAAATTAATAAAAAAAATTCTTATGCATGAAACTAACAAAATTAGAAAAATAAATATGAAATTGAAGATTAATGCTACTTTAATTTCCAATGGAATTCCTCATATAATTTTAGTTAAAAATATATATATTTCAAAAAAATAATATAAATTATATTTTAAAATCTCATCTAATAATTCAAGTTTATAGTTTGATGTAGTTATTTGATATGGTATCATAATTTTTGTAAATACTAAACAATTATGAATTCAAATTTCACTATTTATATTCTAATTAATAAAATTAAAGATAAAATAATATAAATAAAAAAATATATTAAAAAATAACATAAATTATATTCTTTAAGGATTACCTTATCTTCATGATGGGGAATCTCTAGATGGCTATGAACGCATATTTTTCTTCCAAAACCGAAAAAAGGCTATCATGTCTTCCTTATCGTTGAAATCTTCCTGGTGGGGACTCCTTTGATGGCTATGAATGCATATTTTTCTCTCTTATGTAACAGAAACACAAGGCCTTATCATCAATATTAACATAGGGTGCTTCCCGGTGACCTAGTTTGGACCCTACAATTACCAATACAACAGGGAACAGCAGGGCCTCCGGTGACTTTCCAGGAAAGTTATACTTTCTGGATCTCACCACTGCACTAGATGGAATGAAGACTGAAGCAAACAAAGGCTACTTTGTCGTTTGAGAGGCTGTCTTGTTTCCCTTTTCTCCTATTTCCCGTTATAAATTGATTGATAGTAGCATTCTTGTTTGGTCCCATGCATATGTTTGAGAAGGTGAAGGACCCCTACAAATTATAGCTAGCGTCCCATGACACAGGTGGTTAACCTTCTTTTCCAGTTAAGAGACTGGCTCCTTTCTTCTTTTCTTTGTTGGAATGATAATGTAAACAATTAAAGGTTGCACGAGTTGTTTTGTTCTTTTTTATTAAACTAATGTTTCAATAATTTATGATCACTCATGATTAATCTATTAGCAAAAATATTATAAACTCGTATGTCCAGTAAGGCGATTTATATATAGATTTTGTTTGACAGATACAACTGCAAACCTTAGCGACAAATCTTCCATCTATCTCATAATCAAGAACTGTAATTTAATAATTAGTAAACAAGACAATGATTCAGTTCAGAGGTCCTGTAGACTTCACTTGGAGGTCCCAAATATTATTTCCTAATTCATGCTATCTTATTCTAACAAAATTGAAAGCAAAGGGATGAGTTCATGGCTAGCTTCTTGGCGAAAACAAATGGAAAAGAAAAGCAGTTCCTATTCGGGATACATGCAAACGTCCGCCATGTACTCCTTTTTGTTAAAAATATTGATCAGTTCATACGAGCACAAGTACAAGGAAGATTTACAAAAAATGCAATCATATTCGGGATACATGCAAACGATAGAGGATTCTGAATAGATAACTGCAATAAAAGGTGTGATGACTTGTGACGTATAATTAGCTCAATAATTGATGATATTGCAACGCAGAACTCGTAAGAAACATAGCTTCCGAATCTTGGCTCATTTATCAAGCATTTGTCTTAAAAAACACCACATTATTATCGGATTGCCATGCAGATGTAACTTTCTCTCGCCCCGTTTAGTTTGCGGATAGTGTGACACAAGCCTTGAATTATTGCTCAGACAAGTGAATAGATGAGAAACAAAATAATTAAAAAGGCGTTGCCGTGTGGGGTTGCCTTGGAAACAAGTCAAATATAAAGTTTAGTTCATCTCATTTTTGCAAGTAAATTAATGGATAAAAAAAAAAAGCAATTAAACACAAAATAATGTGCTAAACAATGTTAGATATGATGAAATGGGCTACCCATCTTGCCCTGTAAAATATTTTTTTCTTCTTCTCAAAATATTTGTATCTGAATCCTTACGGTTGAAGAGATAATTAAGGCAGAATATAATTTCATCAATTCTATTTCTTCTCTTTTCTAAGTTTAAAGCCATGCAGAAGTTCCAAACGAAAACTGACATGACCAAATGATTGGTTAAGTTATGCATAGAGATTCTTATAATTTCCTAGTCTCTGACATGCAATGCATGGTTTCCTTGCTCGAATAAAATGCAAAAAGATAAGGCCAACAACCAAGATTTAATGACGATGTATCAGAAAGATCATCATTCCACGAGGAATGGAAGTCTTTTCTCTCTCACGCCAATATCAAGCCGTATATGATCCACCATCACCTCTTTGTTAGGTTTCCTTTCATTTTCCATGGTGGTTTCGCTTTTTTCTTTCTCAATGATCAATACATGGATGTATGTCAATGAATCTACCAAGGGATGAATGGTCTCTCCCTATGATTTATGAGGCTGCAAGTCGTGAGTTTATAACGTGGGCTCTCTTGGAGAGCAACTGAACGAGAAGAGTCGTCAATTCCTGTTTGCCTCTCTTTTATAAATTTCCTCTTATTTGTTGTGACCAGAGAATACTTTTTTGTGGGAGGAAGCTGGGACCATATCTGTTTTTTTTTTTTTTTGGAATCCTCAACTTCCCAATTATTTAATTTGTTATACAAATTGCCGGCAAACAGGTGAGGTAAATTGGCAGTTAGTTTTATCATGAAAAAAAAAACTAAAATAAAAAGGGATAATACAAAACATTAGGGAATCTTTTTTTTCTCTCTCTTTAGTTTTTCTTTCATTTTATATTTTTTTTTAATTTTAATTTTATTCTTCAACATTAATTTTATTAAAATTAAATTTTATAATTATTTTTTTATTTATTTTTTTATAAAGCTATTTTAGTATAATAACTCAAACCAAGAGTTTGACAAATCAACTTAGTTGAATTGAATTTTTTTTAATTAACTTATTTTTTATTTTATTTTTTTAATATTAGATTAATCAGGAATTAAATTTCATGATTTATTTTACTTTATTTTCTATAAAATTATTTTATTTTCATAACTCAAGTTATAGGTCTTGCGGAGTAACCAAAACCTAAAATATTAGAGAATTTTATTGTACCCCCTCCTCAAAAATGATTATTCATTGGAATGGTGTTTTTTTAATATATTTTTTCTTTTTTTTTCAATTTTAATTTTATCCTAAAACGTTAAATTTATTAGGAATTGAATTTTTTTATTTTTTTTATTTACTTTTTATAAGGTTATTCTAATCTGATGATCCATAATGCGGGTTTGATAAGTTAACTTGGTTGACTCAAGTTTTTTTTCTAATTAATGTATTTTTTTAATTTTATCTTTTAGCACTAAGTTGATTAGAAAATAAGTTTCATGATTTATTTTGATTTATTTTCTATAAGATTATTTTTATCTTATGACTGGGGTCAATGGTATAACAGATTAACATCTGATGACTCAAGTCACTTTTTTAGTTCTTTTTTAATTAATTTTTGAATTTTAATTTTATCTTTCAATATTAGATTTATTGAAAATTAGATTTTATAATTTTTTTATTTACTTTTTATGTGATTATTCTAGCCTCATAACTCGAACCATAAGTTTGATAAATTAACTCAGTCGACTCAAGTTTTTTTCTTTTTTTTCTAATTAACCTTTTCCCCTCAATTTTATCTTTAAATATTAGGTTGATTGGGAATTAGATTTTGTGATTTGTTTTTATTTTTTCTATGATTGTTTCCTTGTTTTATGACTCAGGTCACGAGTGTAACGGGTTAACTTTTAGTCATTTTTTGTGTTATTTTTTTAATTTCATCTTCTAACATTGGGTTGATTAATAATTGGGCTTCATAATTTATTTTAATTTATTTTTTATTAGATTATCACAGTTTCATAATTCGAGTTATTAGTTTGATAAGTTAATCAGAATTGACTTTGATTTTTTTTTCTTAGTCATTTTTTTAATTGTGTTTTTTTCTAATTTTATATTTCAATACTGGGTTTATTAGAAATTAGGCTTCATGATATATTTTGATTTATTTTCTATAGGGTTAGCATAATCTTATAACTCATCATAAAGATTAACAGATTAATGACACGACTAAAAGATTGATGTCTTCTCCCAAGTGCAGGAGTGTCGAAGTAATAAATAACCCGGCAAGACCGGGGTCGAACCACAAGGAGGTTAATTGTACAAATTATAAACAACAATTATAAAACAACAATAACAACAACAACAATAGTAATAATAATAATAACAATAACAATAATAATAATAATAATAATAATAATAATAATAGTAATAATAATAATAGTAGTAGTAGTAATAATAATAATAATAAAGAAAAAGAAGAAGAAGAAGATGATGAGAACTTGGAGATGGAAAATTAATGTAAGGATTAAACAATAATAATAACAAATGTCAAGGTTAGAGGTTCCACTAATGGTATATCAAACAAGTATAGTATAAACTCTTATTATTGAATTG